AAAAAATAATAAAAATAAAATCAACATCTATAATTTCACTGACCAAGAACTAGAATATTACCCAAACCAATCTTACTGTTTCTCCCTATTCTATCCCTTGGTCATTTTTGGACACATACAAAATTTCAAAAATTAAATAATACTCTGAATTTTATGTGCATGTAAATAATACATTTCATTTTGCTAGTTTCCTAACTTCATTAAAGGTAATACTTTAAAAAGGCATCTTACTATACATAATGTTCTGAGACTTGTTTCCTCCTCTCTCAATATTATTACTAAGATCATCTACTTGTCATATATAACTATACATTTTCAGAGCTTATTTAACACTCTATCTGTACTACCATAATTACTTATTCATTATTCTGTTGATAGGCTGATTTTTAGTTCCTTCAATCCTGCATTGTAGTTTTAGTTCTCTTAGTAATCTGTAAGAAATTTAAGGGCAGAACATCTTCATAGCTCCCAAAAATACTAAGGACACTGTTTTGCATGTGTATAAAAATAATAATTAGTAAAATAAAAGTTTATCATATGACATATACCACCTAAGAACATAGTTTTTTTTTTTTTTTTTTTGAGGGAGGGAGTGTAAACCCAGATAAGCAACTGGAAAAGCTTAGATTCTTACCAAGAACCACATACTTGATCTATAAACAAAAGTTAGAAAAGTTAATTAGTGAAACATAGTTAATCAGGCATAGGTTGCTAAGCCTGAAGGAAAAACTTCTAATTGATAATTTTAATAGCTGTTTATATTCATTCAATATTTAGTATGTGCTGAGCACTACATATAATACAGGTTAACTCATTAGAGCTTTACAACACTATACAAGTCAATACTACTTTACAAATACTAGTTTAAAAGATCCAGAGACCTAGATGATAAATTAACTTGTCCAAGACCATACTGCTAGTGAGCAGCATAACTAAGTCCCATCCCAGAGTTTGATTTAAAATGACTGGGGTAGAATGTGAAAATAGGTATTTCTAGCAAGATCTCAGGTGATGTTTGAAGCTGCTAATGTGGGGAACCAGACTTTGGAAATCACTATCCTATTAAGTAACTTTCCCACAGTCCAACAACTGCTCCCCTAATCCTTAGCTATATCAGCAACCACAGGAAAATTCTCACTTCTCCTCTTGTTCGAAGAGAGTAATTTCCTGTATCTGTACCCATAAACTATGCCTTTCCTCCTTACAATGGACACTTCCTAATTAAGGGTGCACTTACTCCTCCACTTGTGCACTAATTTCTATTATTTCTCACTTAATGACTTTGCTCCTACAATTTTATTTTCTCATGCCTGCATCAACATTTCCTCTCTATGTAGAGGTGGGGATGGGAAAAGGTCAGATGTTGGTCAAAGGGCACAAAATTTCAGTTAGAAGGAATAAGCATTGCACAATATGATGACCACAGTTAATAGTAATCTATTATGTATTTCAAAATTGCTGATTTTAAATGTTTTCACCACAAAAAATAAGTAGGTATGGTAATGGATAAATTAGTTTGACTCACTCTTCCTACAATGTATATCAAAATACTACACTTTATCCAATAAATATATATAGTCTATTATAAAAATTCCTCTCTATTAGATAATTTCCAATGCACCCTCCCCCCCAAAAAAACTCTTTTAACTCTATTATTCTATTTATAGCAAAAATCACCAAAGAATTGTCTAAAGTTGGTTCTCATCTTCCCATTCTCTCTTTAACACTCTAGTCAGATTGATTGAAACTAAAAGGTCATCAATCTCCATGTGGTCATATCCAATGGTCCTATTGATGTATCACCGTATCTGATACAGATGATCACTCTCTCCATCTTCAAGTATTTCCTGTACTTGGTTTCTAGGACACCACGCTCTCTTAGTATTCTTCTGTCACCTGTGCTAGAGAGCCACAGCAACCTCACCTTCCTGGGTTCAAGCAATCCTCCTATCTCAGCCTTCAAAGAAGCTGGGACTACAGGTGTAAGCCACTACACCTGGCTAAATTTTCTGTTTTTAGTACGGACAGCGTCTTGCTTTGCTCAGGTTGGTTTCAAATTCCTGAGCTCAAGTGATCCTTCCACCTCAGCCTCCCAGAGTGCTACAATCATAGGCATGAGCCACCATGCTTAGCGAAATTCCATAGCTTTTCACACTGACAACTCACATAAAAAGATCTTAATCTCCACACTCAATCACTCCTCTGAATTTAAAATTCATATTTCCAAATGTGTACTTGACTTCCTCCCCAATCGTTTAAAGTTATCCTTGAAGATTCATCTTTTCTTAGAAATGTATCACAAAATCCTGTAGGTTCTATGTGTCAAATACATCTGGATTCTACAACTTACATCTCTATTGCTCACAGTCTTGTTCATGCTACCATCATCTTTCACATGGATTACTGCAACTACATTCCAACTTAGCTATCTACTACTCTCGCTTTCACCACCTCCAAACCCCATGCAATTTTCCACACAATAGCCAGGGTGACCTTGACTTATAAAAAATAAACAGAAAAGGGATCATGTTCCTTCCATGCTCAAACTATCCAATAGCTTCCCATCATATTTAGTATGGACTACAGAGGTCTTACATGGTGTACATGATTTTGGTGCTTAGCCACCTCTTAGATTTCATTCCTACCATGTTCACCATTACCTAATGCATTGGAACACCATTAGCCTCCTTTTTTTTTTTTTTTTTTTTTGAGATAAGAGTCTCACTTTATTGCATTTGGTAGAATGCCATGGTGTCACAGCTCACAGCACTCTCCAACTCCTGGGCTTAGGCGATCTGATTCTCTT